GATAACCCTTGTATCGGTCCTCAAGAGTGTGACGAAGTTGTTTCGAAAACTATCTTTTTGAAAAGTGTTTGTGTGAAAAGTTTTTGTTTTAAGCAAGTACTTAAGAGTTTTTTACTTACTCGAAAAAAGTCTGTTTGTTTTCGTTTCCTTTAGACATCGCTATCCTACTATTAAGGAGTAGGTAGCTCCGTCATTGGAATTTTAAAGGGACGTTCAAAGGGACGAAATGGTCTTTGAAGGCAACAAGTAAGGATACCTTAGCGTTTCGAAGGGACTATCGTCATAAGATCAATTTGTAGGTAACTCGAGGGACAAGTAGGGACTATGATCTTTATGACGATTTTGAATCGCGGATCATTGCTAAGGTATCCCTATATTCGAGGGACACGACCATTATTTCCGAGGCAACCAAGTGGGGACAAACCCTAGGAGTGAGCATGTGCAAGTGTGCCTTTTTCAGTTAATTATCTTTGCACAATTAGGGTTGTCTACCATTTTAATTTGATTTATCTTTAACATGCAATCCTAATGTCCATACATCTAATAGTTTAATAGTTACGGAAATTAAAAAGCGAGAAATAAAAAAACCTAACTATTACAAGGCTTTGGGGAGGGGATTACATAATAAAAAAACCGGGGAAAAGTGATAAGCAAAATAATAAACCTAACTAACTATTACAACTTGGGAACAATTACAATAATTAATAAGAATAGGGAAAGTAAAGACGCACGCGAAAATTAAAACGGGAACAAATTAAGACCTAAGAAATCTAATTAATTAAAAATAATTTTGTTTGTATTTTCTTTATTGAAAAATTGTCGCAATTTGCAAATTCATCCTAATTTCTATTAAATTATAATTACAAGAAAATATTTAAGTTAACCAAATTAAACTAATTAATTAAATGCAAATAAATATTTTATGAAAATAATTAACTAAACCTAATTTTTTTGTAATTTTCTGATTTTATGATTTAATTAAAAAAGATTTTTATTGTAAAATAATTAAAAAAAAATGATTTTGTAAAATAGTTAAAAACAAATAAAGAAATAAGAAATTAAAAGATAAATGAAACTTGGGCCTGTTGCTGGAAGGAATTGAGGGGGTGTGCTGCCAAATTTCTTGTTAGGCCCAAAGCTGGAGGCCCAAAGTCTGTGCCTGATCCAATGAGGCCATCTCCCGAGGGTTCATGGTGTGCCTTCAATCCTGTGGCACTGGATCTCCATGATGATGGATCCCAAGGATGGGATCTGGGGCGTATGGTGGACGCTAGGCATTGAGGCACGTTGGATCTGGAAAGTATATTCAAGAATAATGCAAAAGCAACACGCCTGGGATCGAACCCAAGACGTTTGCTTCAAACCCTCCGTCCTTAACCATCTGCGCTGGTTGTTCATTTGTGAATATAACAACAAAATAACATTATATTTAAAGTAACATCAGTATCATGAAAACGCGCGTGTAATTTAAGTCTCCCAGTGGGAGTTTGCCACCTAGCCTTCTTCTTCCTCAGCATTGTCGTCTTAGAGGATGAACTTTTACCTACGGTTCCATGCTTGTCGCTAAAACATGTTCATCTCAAAAAACTTAAACAAACAAGATAAATAAAATCCAAGAATGCCAATCAACCAGGCTTGATCTCGTGAGCATGATGGTGCTCATATTTGGCCCTAATTTTACCCGTATAATAAAACCCTAAAATTTAACCTTAAACCCTAATAATGGCAATTGTCTCTGTGTGCATCAAAACTTACAATTAATCATGCTAACACGTTCCAAATGACAACACAAACAAGAATGAATGCTTAAAAAACGTTAACCATGCGCAAATAATCAAAACCAAAATCAAGAAATATGGCAAACCGTGAGAGATGTGGAGGCTGGTTCTGGGCGTCTTATTGCGTGAAAATGGTTGGAAAAGCTTCGAAGGTGTCCAGGAACGTGTTGCAATCCTTAAATCTCCTTGAGGATGGCTGTAGTATGGAATCCGATGCTCACTTTTTTGTCCAAAAACGGAGTTCTTGCCCTTGCAGTTTACACGTCCAATTCTCTCCCTTGTGCCTTGGAATTGTTATGTATATGCATTACACTGTATTAGGTTAACAAAAAACATGCATATCTTTGCCAATTATCAAGATTTGATTTGATTCAATCCTTGAATTATTTCTTTCTAAATCAAGCCAAATCATACAATTTTCATCCCAATCACCCTTGGCACGATTTGATCCTGTTTGACAGCATAAATGAATTGTGATTCTATTCAAAATCAGATCAAAAACAAATCTTCCATATTTTATATCATTTATTTGATTTAATTTGACTTTTAAATGATTAAAATAAAAATAAAATTAAATAAATAAATTCAATAATATATGAGAGAGTGTTTGGGTCGTGGAAATTGCTAGAAGTAAGATGGAAGCATAAAAAGTTAGGCCCATTTGACAAAAAAAATACAATTTTGGGCATTGTTGACTTTTGACAATTTTCCAAAAATGGCCAACTTTGACAATGCATATCTCCTTCAATTTTAACCCTAATGGGATGTTCTTGGACTTTATAGAAAGCTTAGGATGTCCCCTAAACAACCCTTTTGGTTTCATCCCAATTGGATCTTCCATGTTTATGTAAGCAGCTTTGACCCAAAAGGTGTTTTTATTGACTTTTGGAATGACCTATAATGTCTGAATTCATATCTTTCCATGAGTGAATTTTTTGAGCTTGAGGGATGAAGATGAGTTGTAGGGAATTAGATTATCTTCAAAATGAGCATTGGATGGAAAATTTCTGATAAAGTATGAGAAAGTTATGCCTGGTCAAAGTTTGGTTGACTTTTCCTAAGAAACCCTAATTTAGCAACTTTTGAGTTGTGATGAATTAGGAGAGTTTCTTGGGGAACCATGATCAACCCTTGATAAAATGATGGATATCACTTCAAAATGTTGATGTTGACCAAAAATCTTGAAGTTTGACTGCATGTGAGTCACAGTTGACTTTTGACCTAATACAATTGATTTTCAAGCATCTGAGCAGTTGACTGAGCAAACTTCTTGTGCAAGGCATGAAACTTGACATAGATGGTCTTGAGAACATATTAAGACCATGGAAAATATTTTAGGCTTTTTGGATTCTCACATCCTGATGAAAATGGAAACCCTAATTGGAAGTTCATTGCTTTTAAGAGAGAGTTTGTCTGGTCAACTCTTGGGCATCGTTGAGCAAATTGAGTATCTTAGTGAATATATGTTGAGTAAAATGGGAGGGAAAATTTTTGGGTACAACAACAATACTCTCTTTGTCAAAGATATGGATGGAGAGCTTATAATAGCTCAGATTTATGTAGATGATATTGTCTTTGGTGGAAAGTCATATGAAATGGTTCAACATTTTGTTGAGCAGATGCAATCTGAGTTTGAGATGTGTTTGGTAGGTGAACTGACTCACTTTATTGGTTTACAAGTTAAGCAGATGGAAGATTCCATTTTCCTTTATCAAAGTAAGTATGCAAAGAATATTGTGAAAAAGTTTGAAATGGAAAATGCCAAATATAAGAGAACTCCTTCTCCTACTCACATAAAGTTGTCTAAAGATGCAAATGGTATGAGTGTTGATCAGAGTTTTTATAGAAGCATGATTGGAAGTCTGCTATATCTCACTGCAAGAAAACCAAATATAATCTTTGTAGTTGGAGTTTGGACTAGATATTAAGCAGAATCCAAAGTGAGTCATATCAATTAAGTGAAAAGGATTATGAAGTATGTCAATGGCACTAGCAATTATGGAATGTTGTATTCTTATGATTCAAGTTCCATTCTGGTGGAATTTTGTGATGCTGATTGGGTTGGAAGTGCAGATGATAGGAAGAGTATTGTAATAGGGTGGGAGAACTGACTTTTAGGGTTTGCATTTTATCGCAAATGTTGCGGATAACAAGAGTCGCCACCGACTTTTCCTTTATCCAATAAAGGAAAGGGTGAAAAGAACAAGAAAGACCTTTTGAGAATTTTCTGAGTAAGGGGGGTAGGTTATGAAAAGGGAAGATGTTAGCACCTTTTTCATCCATAGTTATCTACGAGCTCTTAATCGCTAGCTCACTTTGAAAATGCTTTGTGTTTGTGTATGTTTAAAAATATTTTGAAAATGCTTAAGTGTGGCAATTTTGTAATGATTCTCGCATCATTGAGAATGTATACAAAATGTTTGTTTCAAAAATATTTATTGAAAGAAAGTGTTATTTTGAAAAGTGTGAGGTGCAAAAATTGTTTTAGTTTGTGAGCAAGCAATTACGAGTGATCTACCTACTCAAAAAGTCTTTGTTCTTTTCTTCCTCCTTTAGGTAGTGTTACCCTACTATTAGTGAGTAGTAAGCCCTACCATTGGATGTGAGGGATAGGCACGAGTCATCGTATAGTCATAAAGGTAACTTTTAGGATGCTTTAGCAATTGTCGTAAGGGACTAAGACCGTTTACTGAAGACAACAATGAAGGGTCATCGAGGGACTACGATCTTTTTAATGGAGGGTCTTTGCTAAAGCGTCCCATATTCGAGGGACATGACTGTTTTATCCGAAGGCAACAAGCGAGGTTACCCTAGAGGTGCGTGTGTGAATTGTGTTTTTATTTTCAGTTAATTTATCTTGCTTAGGGTTATATAGCGGTTGATTTTAAATCTTGTCATACACGCCTAATTAATATGCAATGATAAATAAAAGCGGTAACATATGGAAAATAAAGTTCTATGCTATTACAACGCTTCAGGAATGGGGGGTACAATTTATAAATGAGGATGATATAAGAAATAAACACCTAAGCTATAATTAAATTACACAATACAAGTCCAAACTATTAAATGATTATTTAAGTTAAAACTCTTCTCATTTGATAAAATTAATTAATAATTTAATTAATAATGTCAAACAAAAATTATTTTAAAATTAATAATTATTTAAAACATATTGAATTTTTTCATTATAAAAATACATGTTGAAATATAAAATAAAAACTAAATAAGTATAAATAATAAAATAAAAGAGAAATATTTAGAAATGGGCCTAATTGCAGCAATTCTGGGGGGTGTGAATAGAAGTCCATCCAGGCCCAAATAAAGGGAGACCCAAAGCCTTCTGGTTGATCCGATGCAGCTGATTTTGTGAGGGTGCACAGTGGGATCGCTATTATGAGCATTGGATGATGATGTGTAATGATTTGATGAAGATCTGACAGTGGCTGGAGGAAGGGTACACATTGGGCTTCGATAAGATGCTCGCATAGAATTCCTAATTAAGAAAAACAGACAGTGACAAGTGTTTCTGCCGTAGTAGTCACAATAATCATGGTTTATTAACAAAGAAAGTTATTAATACAAAAAAAATTAAACAAAACCAATACCAGCTTTTCTCTCTCCTCGTATCTCTCACGCTTCTCTCAAACATGTTCTTCTTCTCTCTTCGTTGTTGTTCATCTTTTCGTCAGTGGCCTTCTTCGATCTTCAATATTTGATATGATCGCTGCCAAACTCAACCTTCCTCATCCCTCTCAAACAACATGCTTCATCGGAGCACCCAATCCACCATGATTCTCAACTTCGTCATCTCCGATCGCAACCTTTATTTCATAGATTCGTTTATTATCACAATTTTTGTTTATGAGTTGTTGGACTTGCTATTGAAAGTCGATGGTTGTGATGATATGTTTTCAATTTTTAGAGACGCGTTGATGATTATTGAGGATCGAAAGATGAAGATTTGAATGTAGAGATCAGGTTTAGAGATTGCAGAGACAAATTCGAGATTTGGGTGAGTTCTTTATGACTCTATTATGTTGCTCTATAATGCGAAATCTCTTCCTCCTTCTCTATTTTTCTCATTTCAGAAGGGTTTATTGTCTAGGAAGATGATGAACCAAATTAGTGTTTGCTCTTGCTGGCTGCGTATGAACAATAGTCCCCCCTCTGAAATTTGTGTCATGAATTATTTATATACTGATAAGATTAGGGTTTTTTCAGTTTGGGTTCAACGATTTGCTTATTTATCAGGCCTTGTCAAATTCCGTGCTGGGCTTTTGGATATCTAATTTTGTTATTTGTTTACTCTTGGAAAATGATATGTTACTACAGTAATTTTGTTTCTCATATGAAAATTTTTATTGCCCTATTTTTACTACTATGTAATTGTGATGTTGTGACCTGAACTTGCAGTAACTTATTTGCTTGATTGGCTTGCAATGTTGTTTTTTTCAATTTCACTGAGGTGTTTTTACTGCCATATTTTACTGTGAACCAAATGAACCTCCCTTTTTGTGTGTTTGTTTTTGATTTTCAGTAGGATAATTGGGCCCATGATTATTGTTTGAATTTGAATATTTGTTATTATGAACAAAACAAATATGAGGCTTTTGATGTTGCTTGAACATGATTGAGAAATAACCCTTTTTCTGATCCTTGAACAAAACCCTAATGCTGAAACTGTGAAAATACTCTTTGATAATTTCATGTTTATGTTCAAATATGAATTGTTTTCTAACCATTTTCTTCTTTCTTTGTCATGTACCGTTTGAACCATGTTGGTTGGCCTGAGGATGGAGTTGGAATAGTTAAAAAATTTGGAAGATGAGCACTGGAAAATTTATGAAGAACAAGGATGGCTTATTCTCAGGAACTTAGGACAATTGAACTTCTTGTTGAAACCTTAATGTTGTAAAAACTTAGGCCTTAGAACTTTGAATTCCAATCTTGCATCCTTAATGATGTAACATGAATTTAGGCCATATGATACTTGTAGAATTCTTGTATATCAATGTAATTTGATCTTATAATTTGAACTTATAACATTGATAGCATTTGAAATTTGAGATTTTGGATGTAATTCAACCTTAGTTTAGAGCATGCACTCTTGAGCATTGTATTTTCTTGTCAAAAGGTAGTGATGTAGAACAATGGTCCTTGTAATGTGCAAAATCTTCTTGTGAATTTGAACTGAGTGATTTTCACAAATTGCGAGAAAAATAAAACCATTATAAATTACACTTAGAACTTGTAAGATAACTTTGAATGTTTTCTTGAATCCTAAATCAAAAGAGGTTCTTGAATCATAATTCAGAGGAGGTTCATGAATATAATCTCACACATCAAAATCCACAACATTGAAGGGTGAGAAAACACCAAAAGCGGGGGGGGGGGGGGGGGGGGGGGGGGGGGGGTTGAATAAGTTTTTCCTTTTTCTCGCACAATAATAATGGAAGGAAACATGTAATTTTATCCTGGTTGGTTTGAAAATCAAACTACTCCATTCACCCGCCAAGGTGATTTCGCCTCTCTTAACGAGGACTTAATCCACTATAATCAAAACTGATTACAAGTGCACAACCAAACTGTTGTGACTACAATACAATGCACAAACCAACTGCAAGTGACTAACACCTCTAAGACCCAACTAGTCCTAGCCCTCTTGAGAAATCTGACCCAACTGGTCTCCCAAGGAACAATTAAATGCACAACCAAACTATTGTGACTAACACCTCGAAGACTCAACTAGTCCTAGCCCTCTTAAGAAATCTGACCAACTGGTCTCTCAAGGAACGATTACAAAGATTATCTCTTAACAATAGTGAATCAGAATGCTTCTAATAAGCTATATAAAAAACTGTGATTTATCACTAAGATTTTTGCCCAGTACTTAAGAATTACCCACTATATACAAAGAGTTTACAAGAATGAAATAATGAGCTTCAGTATATTTTGCTTGGATCAGTAACCTAGCTTTGAAACAAATGGTCTTCTATATATAACTTCAAATATTGACTGTTACTGCCTTGAAGAGAGAGTATACATTAATGATGTGTGTTAGCTTGATCTTTATGTTTCCAATGCTCTCATGTGTAGTACCACTTGAGTGCGTTAGCCGTCTTAGCATTAAATGATCAACAGTACTGTCAGATCTTGTCTCTTGAAGTTTAAGAGTTTGCTTGCAGTGTTTGCAACATCAGAGTTTGCTTTAACTTTTCTTCTATCAGAGTTTGCTTTAACTTTTCTTCTATTAGAGTTTGCTTTAACTTTTCTTCTATCAGAGTTTGCTATATCACTTCTTTTGTCAGATTTTTCTTCATCAGAGTTTGCTTCAGCTTGCATTACCAGATATTGCTTTCAGCGTGCTTCTTTCAAATCTTTGCTTCATCTAGCTTTATCAGAGGTTGCTTAAGATTACTTTTCATCAGAGTTTGCCTTGAAGTGCTTCCTTCATAGTTATCTTCAGACTTGCGTTTACATATAATTTCTTAGGAACTTCTTTATCCTTTTTCAGCTCAGCGTAGAATGATGTTTCACTTTTGAAAATGCTTGAGTCAGAACATCATCTGAATTAGAAAACATGCACATCAGAGTATACAAATTTTTTTTCATTTTTATCATAAAAAATATAAGATATGATTAGAACCAAACTTTGTTCTAACAATCTCCCCCTTTTTGATGGTGACAAAATAATTCAGATTTAGATTTTAAATTTTTTTTGTACAAGAGTGAGAATCTCCCCCTGAGATAAATATTTCTTCTTCTGAAATAAATAATAAAAGAACTTAAATGCATAAGAGAAACTTCCTGAGATTGTTCTTCAGAGCTTTGGGATATTTTTCTTTCAGAGTTTCTTTAAGAGTTCTTGATCTTTTCTTTAGAGTTTCTTTAGCAAATCTTTACCAGATGATGTTTAGAGCTTAGTCTTTCAGAGTCTTGAGGAACCTACATATCTCTTAAATAGTAACAAACTTTGTATTTTTTTAGGAATGTTTGAGATTTAGTCCCATAACTTCTATCATGGATCAGATCAAAATCACATTTTCTCCCCCTTTTTGTCATAATCAAAAAGCAAAAAAAATAAATAAAGAGATTCAATTTTTTTTATATAGAAGATGTCAAAGGACAGAAGTACAAAAAATAGAAAAAAACTAGGATTGACGAGAGACAAGAGAAAGAAGAAGATTCTTAATTTCTGTTGAGGATTCCTCTTGAGAGAGAGAGAGTAAAAAGTAAAAGAAGAATTTTGCACAAAATTTATAGCTTATGAAAAATAATTTTTAAAGAATAAAACAATAAAACAATTTAGAATAATTGAATAAAAAAATTAATCATTACAAGCAATTAATGAGATTGAACATTGAGGGGATGCGTGAGATTTGATCAAATCTGAACAATTACCTAGGAACGGTATCTTAATAGTAGTGCATGTTGAGGATATCGTGTGACAGTTGTTTTAATGTAATGAACTTCTGAACCATTTTTGTAATGAAACGTTAAACACATTTCAGAACATTATAGATGGTTTCTGAAGTAACTCCTCTTCTAACTTATGAAGAGATGTTAATCAGAGCTTTCATTTCAAAACTTATAAAAACATATATAGAGATAGAAAAATTTTCATTCAGGACAAAGTTCCATACTGATGTGTTTCAGAATGAATTTAAATTTATCTTCAAAAAAAGGTTTAGTAAAAATATCAGCCCATTGATGGTCTGTGTCTACAAAGTTTAAACTTAAAAATTCCTTTATGAATATAGTCCCTTATGAAATGATGTTTAATTTCTATATGTTTTGCCTTAGAATGTAAGATAGGATTTTTTGAAAGACAAATAGTAGAGGTATTATCACAAAAGATAGGAATCTTACTTTCATAGAGATGATAATCTTCCAGCTGGCTCTTCATCCAGATCATTTGAGTTCTACATCCAGCATATATATATATATATATATATATATATATATATATATATATATATATATATATATATATATATATATATATATATATATATATATATATATATATATATATATATATAATATATATATATATATATATATATATATATATATATATATATATATATATATATATATATATATATATATATATATATATATATATATATATATATATATATATATATATATATATATATATATATATATATATATATATATATAGTGCAATAGTGGCATGCTTCTTGCTGTACCATGAGATAAGGTTATCACCCAAAAACTATCAGCTTTCATAAGTTCTTTTTCGTTCGATTCTATATCCAGCAAAGTCAGGATCACAATAACCTACTAGTTTAAACTCGTTAGATCTTTTGTAACACAGTCTAAGGTTAGTAGTACCTTTCAGATACCTCAGAATTCGCTTAACAATAGTTAAGTGAGATTCTCTAGGATCTTATTGGAATCTTGCACATAAATATACATTGAATAATATATCTGGTCTAGATGCAATCAGATAGAGAAGAGATCCAATCATACCTCTGTAGAGTTTCTGATCTACTTTCTTACTTACCTCATCTTTTCCCAAAATGCATGTAGGATGCATTAATGTCTTTGCTTCTTTACTTTCTGATAGATGGAATTTCTTCAGGAGTTCTTTAACATACTTTGTTTGATGTATGTAAGTACCTTCTGGAGTCTGATTTATTTGAATTCCCAGAAAGAATATTAGTTCCCCCATCATGCTCATCTCAAATTCAGCCTGCATAGACTCAGCAAATTCTCTTCTAAGAGAGACATTAGAAGTTCCAAAAATAATATCATCTACATGTATTTGACAAATTAAAATGTCATTTTTAAGTGTTTTTCTGAATAATTTAGTGTTCACTTTCCCTCTGGTAAAATTCTTTTCTAAAAGAAAGTTACTTAGACGTTCAAACCAAGCTCTGGGATCTTTTTTCAGACCATACAAATACTTTTTCAGTTTAAAACATGTTCTGGATAATTTGAGTCATCAAAACCCGGAGGTTGATGGACATACACTTATTCTTCTATGTAACTGTTGTACCCCAAAATTTGCCCTCTCATTTCTCAAAGGATCAACCTGGACCCTCAGGTTTGCTTCTATCAAGTTTCAAGTCTTGAATTACAACTTTTCAAGAAAATCATTCACAAGGGCAAAATGGTAAAAAGCACTCTGAAAAGTTAAACTTTGACTTTTATATCAAAAATAAAGTTTCAACAATTATATTTCCTAGAGACATGAAATTGGTTCATCAAAAAAATCAGAAGTTAGAAATTACTTTGAAAAAGTTAAATTTCTAAACATTTAGAAAATTTTCTAAGTGTTAAGGGAATATGATACTTCAGAACTTCTGAGCCAGCCTCCACGCAAGTGCAGTCAGAAGTTGCAAACATGGTTCAGAACATAGTTCTTCAATTAGAACATGACTCCTCGGCATATAATTCGATCAGAACATCACCCTTCGAGTTTCATTCTGGTCTTCTTCGATCAGAACCTCACAAAGCCCCAAAACCTTGTTTGAACAGCCTGCTGCACTACTATAGCACAGTCCTGCAACCAGCTGCCACAACACTCCAAATTGCTGTTGATCTAGTCCACGTCTGCATTTTTCTCAAACCCTATATTTGCACCAAATTGGCATATAAAACTATGATTAAAAAGCAATGGAACAGTATACCAAAAAGGTTTTAATACCATTTGTTTTCCCCCCCAAAACCACAGCAAACCTATCTATAAATAAGTGGCTCCATCACACATTCAAGGGGATGGTATTTGGAGAGAGAGAGAGAGAG